TGGCCACTTTTTGTCCTCTATCGAATGGCATAATCAATTTTTATATGTAACGTTTCGTCTTTCCAGGACCATCATCAACTTAATTTTTTTTAAATACGACCATGAACATTTTATTACATTTTTTGCAAGCCATCATGACCCCCAATACTGTACTGCCTCTGCCCGAACCAGATTCAGACGTTTTGTCTCGAAAAATTCATCTTCAGTGTATTCGTTCCAAATTTATCTAAATTTTTTATTTAGATTTCTTTGTTTATTGAATCGTACACTGTAAGTGTCGTTAGACCCTCTGAAATATATCTAGTTATTGAAACTATTACCACCACGCCTTACATTAAAATATTCAGTCAGATGGTTATTTTTATCTTCATATCTGATGCGAATACTCTAATGCTAGTTCTGTCCATTGTTCCGATTTTTTTTTTAATTTTTACTATTCGGACTAAATTCGTCCTTATTACTTAAGTACCTATGGCTTTCGATATTTTTTCCACTTTCACTCTTACAAAATTAATTTCCTTCAAAAGCATCAACATTTTGTATATGTGGCATTATTGATTGTAATTAGTTGAAATATATAGGGTGATTAATTAAGAATGGGCAATCTCTAAACTTGAAAAACTACACCCCAAAAAATGATGATTGAACTTGCCTCATACCCATGTTGCAGGTTTAGGTATTCAAAGTTGTAATTTTAATTTGAAATTTCTCTATAGTTTCGAAATTTTTAGCAGAATCAACTCGAAAAAACTTGGTAGGTTTATGTTTTTTGATATGAGAATTACGAATGTGATACTGAATTTGCCGTTATCTGTACAGGGCGTAAATTCCACCCAGTTACTTCAGAAAATCACAACGTTTTTTTGTCTAATAAACTATGGCTAAATTGAGCCAAAAATTTAAAAGCCAATTCAATTTTACATAGAAAAGGTACTCTTGTTTAATTGATCTAACTTATCGGTTTTTGAGATATTTGCATTTTAAACCTTCAGTGTAAAATCGCCTTAACCACCGTTTTCTAATTTACTAATTATTTGCAGCAAAACTTCGAATATCAAAAATTGCCACGACATAATGATTTTTCCAACAGTCAAATGCGTGATACGATTTGTGTCTTTGCTCACCCAAATTTTAGTGGATTTGATGCAAACAGAAGGTAACTCGTATTTATAATTATACCCAAATGAAAGATGATCAGAAATATTTACAAACGCCTAGGGTATTTTCGTCCTTAAAAATCACAACGGTGGACAAGAGGGATAAACCACGTCTATCTGAAGAACTTTAAAGAAAGACAATCTCCGTCCATATCACCATATTCCTGTCCAAAATTTATTACCTACCTCAAGACTTACCAACTCGGCTATAATTTTCTCAATTTTTGCTAGATAAGCAAACCGAAAACCAATATTTTCTTAATAACATTTTTTTTATTGATGAGGCGTTTATTAGACGAAGTATTTTTAATTGGAAAAACAATTATTTGTGGGAATCCGAAAATCCACATGCTCTACGAGAAAGACATTTTTAGTATGAATTGAAGGTAAACGTTTGGTGTTGTGTGATATCTGTTTTTTTATTGGTCGTTTTGAACTCCCTTCCTAATCTGAATGAACTGAATCTATTTGAACTTTCTTGCCCAAAATTTAAACACGCTCTTAGAAAATGCATTACTAGCCATAAGATGAAGCATGTAGTTTATGCTGAATGGAGCGCCACCACATTTTTCTGTGCCAGTGCGCCAATATCTGAATGAACATTTTCCTCGTCAGTGGAAGTGAATTTGTTTGGCCACCGAGAAATCCTGTGGACTTCTCAATATGACCACAAATGAAGGAATGGTTTACAAAGAAAAAAATTCATCTAGTCTCTCTTACTCAGAAGTTTTCTTTTATTACTGTTACTGATAGTTATTATCATTTGTCGTCTTTGTTGTTGTCATTCCACACACTTATAATAATAAAAAATAATAAAAAAAGAAGAAATAAAAAAGCAAAATACATTTAACGTTTAAAATACACAACTCAAAAACGGATAGACTAGGATGAATTAAACAAGAGTGCCTTTTCTATGTAAAATTGAAATGCCTTTTATATTTCTGACTCACTTTAGCCATAGTTCAATAGACAAGAAAAATGTGTTGTGATTTACTGAAGTAATAGGGTACAACTAACGCCCTGTACAGATAGTGCCAAATTCAGCATCAAATTCGTAATTCTTATACTTAAAAATATAAAGCCAACGATTTTCGAGTTGATGCTGGCCCATCCCTAATGAATCACCCTGTACATACTTATATAACGGAAATATTCTTTTCTTTCTTGTTTTTTTTAATTTGACGTTTGTTTTGTTAATTGTGTCATATTAAGGACTATTCATTGTTGTATTTTTTCTCTAAAATGCATTTTTCAGGTGCTATAGGCGTTTTAATGCTCAAAATTAGTTAAAAATGGCTGAAACTCTACAAGGAAGCATTTTAGAGAAAAAAGTGGAAGAATAAAAAGCTTCTATTTTGATCCTATTAAAACATCTACATAGGTACTTTAATTTCAAAATCTTAACTATTTTACCATAAAATATAGATTTTCATTGATTTTGATATTTTTTGAGGTTAGGGAAAAATTCTGACGTGATAGAGCATTTCTGATGGCTCCATCGTCTTCAGTGGGTCAAAATGCAGGGGAGTAGGTACCATATTCTGTTAGAAAGTACATATTTTTTTTTGTGTGTGCCAGTATTATTTTCCTAATGCCTAATAATTCCTAATAGACCAGGCGGTATCTGTTTTGGCTTGGGTGAATCGTATATCCACGGAGATTTTTGGCTTTTTTCCTTTTTGGCTTTCAAATATCACTAGAAATTAAAATTTTTCTATGCGCATAAAAAAACGTGGGCTTAACTTTTGACGGCACAATATGTTAAAAAAATTGGAAAAATGTAATTTTTCTTCCTATTTAATTATGTATCTTTTTAAAAGTTGATTTTAGGCGAAAATGGAAGAGGAAAAA